AACTCTTTTCTCCAGTTTTCTAACAACCAGCTCACATAGTATTCCTGAGATTGGACTTCCCATTGGAATTCCCCTTTTCTGTCAGTATGTTTGACCATCATAGCTAAAGTAAGATTCATAGCATATCAGGTTAGCCAGTTCTACTATGTTGTTGTAACGTTGATATGTTACGACGACGAAGTAGTAGAACTGGCTCTACTATCAATTCAGGGTTCTTGTTGAACAAGAATTCGATTAGTGCTTCCTTGCATGATTCTATTTTTATGGAAGGATACAAGCTCTCGTAATCCAATATTGTTCCTACTTCCTCTTCCATTAATGATATGCCTTGTATTTCTTTGACCACAGTCCCAGGATCTTGTGCCACTTAAGGATCATAATGAGATAAACTTATGTAATTTTTTTCTATGACAAAAGTCTGTCCCCTGTGTTTTCTCACTATTGGCCTTATTTGTTTATCTTCTTTGTGTGTTTTAGCAAATGCAAATAATCTTGGAATACCAGGCCTTGGGTTTTGGTACAGTCCCAGGATCTTGTGCCATTTAAGGATCATAAGGAGATAAACTTATGTAATCTTTTTTCTATGACAAAAGTCTGTCCCCTGTGTTTTCTCACTATTGGCCTTATTTGTTTATCTTCTTTGTGTGTTTTAGCGAATGCAAACAATCTTGGAATACCAGGCCTTGGGTTTTGGCACTTCTTAAGAAAAGGTAAAACAGTAGAAAGCTTTGCTCCTTCTAGTTTTTTGACCCTTCTGTCAATGGTCTCAATTATTTTAACATTTTGTTTTTTTGATGTAATCTTCTATCACTTTGTTGTTAGTTCCTCTTTTTGTAATCACCAAATGTTTACTTTTGTCAGCTCTTGTTACCACTAAATCGTTGACGTTCAGCCAACTCTTAGTAATCTGAATGTTGTTGTTCTTAACTCCTCCTACCTTCCAATACTCTTGGTTTTTAATGACCATTTTCCATCTAAAATAATCTGTTTTTTTTTTTTTAAATTTAAATATTTATATTTGATCTTGTACGGAAATATTCCAATTGTCATTTTCAACCTGATGATGGTCTATGGAATAGGTCGAAAATGTTTGTTTTAAATAAACTTTCTCAGCAACGAAAAATGTGTTTGGTTATTACATATTTATTTTTTGAAATTTTACATTGACCTGATATTTTTATTGAATTGGGTTAAAGTAAATGTCTGTTTGACTTGAAAATATATGAACCTTTTAACTGCAATTTATTTGAAAAACTATTTAGTATATTAATAGAAGATACAATTATCTTCTAAGAAGTGAACAAAAATGAATTTATATTTGAATCTTTTGTTAAATAATGTGACTTTCAAAGATAATTTTGATGTAGATTTAATTTAAATAGATAAAAATTAATTAGTTTTTCAGCATACATTTTGTAAAGAAATGTCCCACCACACCACATCTTTGCCCATGGTGAAAAAGCACATAAAAACCTTTAAAAATGTAGGTTTCCTGTAACAAAAAACCACACAAAAAAGCTAAACTAAATATCTTGTATTGTTCCTGAAATATTGAAAGAAAAATAACATTTTTGTGACACTTTACCCACCTTTTATCTCAAAAACTAAGTGTTTTTAAATACAGTACTACCATTTTTTCCTAATTACACTTACTTTTTGATGTTCTATCATCATCTGAGGTTTGGCCAGTCTTATTGTTAATACTCTGTGTATAAGGAATTCTTTCCTAGCATATATGTATATTACACTGATCTAAATGAATATATATACATGGTGTGGCGTAAAGAGTGGATAATCCGTTACCTGCGGATAGGGGACATCATGATTGTTCAGAAAATTAAACGTTGTGTTTAGTAAAAGTGTCATAGTTTTCGAGTTATTTGACATTTTCTATTTAAGGACAAAGTGTACAAAGAGCCCGTGACCTTGATCGAGCAGCTTCGGGAACGAATTGAAAGGGCTGTGCGGGAAATCAGTGAAGCAGGTATTGCGAGAAAAATTAAACGATCATTTATTAGAAGATGTAGGGGATGTGTCACAGTCCATGGTGGTCACTTTGAACACTTGGATTTCCAATTAGATTATTTAAGAGCCCAATTCATTCATGAGATTTTAAAAATTTTTCTTGATCTTTCTCAGTAGGAGTTTTCATTGAATTGAAAGCTACAAATGCCATTTATGCTATTTTAAATCTCAGTACAATAGGAAAATTATTAGTTAGTTTGTCACGCAGGTTACAGTACTTTTTTTACACCAAAAAAAATAAACAAAAATTTTGAATTATTTTTTGTTCTAAAAAAACCAAGTCTATTCAGTATGATAAATCTTTATGTAAGATAATGCTTAGTTATATAAATCAAATACTATAATACAATATAAGGGTTAGAAGCAGGGCTGCGGAGTCAGTAAAAAAACACTCAACTCTGACTCTGACTCCTGATAATTTTAGTAGGTCCACTCCAACTCTGACTCTTGACTCTGACAAAATTAAATATCAATCATTCAATCATTTTAAGGGGGGCAGAGGTGCTCGTAGGGTGTTATCCTACTCTGAACTCTGAAAGGAGCTCCGGGCATTTACCCAAATACTTTTATAGTTAGTATTTTTAATATTTAACTTACATCAATATTTATATGCATAAAAAAATTAATTTTTAACAAATATTTAATAAGAGGAAAAAGGGGAGCAATAAAATTCTACATCTACATATATTTATTCTAGAGCTTTTGCACTTCAATTTCACCTTTCCAGAAAAGTTAGTTCAATTAAAAAGTGTGCAATCTAGCTACTTCAGCCCCTTGTTCAGAAAAGAAAAATATATACTCTGATATAGTCTGGCTCATTCTGAAAAATAGAATATTTATTTAGAGTGGGGATAAGAAAGGAATGAATCAATAATATTCAAATTCAATTGGGTCAAAATAATTTAACTACTGAACATAAATACTACAAAGAAAACTATTGATACATATTTAATAAATTAAATTGTTGAATTTTGTATTTAAAATAAATGAATTATAACAAAATACAAATACATTTTAAAAAATTTAATAAATATAAAATAAATTTTCTTTCATTTAAATGAAAAAAGACTGAATTAAATTTAAAATGTCAGAGTTGGAGTTGACACATTTTTCCCGACTCTGACTTCAACTCCTCTGGCCAGAAATCCCTCCCGACTTCGACTCCATAGCTCCAGTTAGAAGTATGAAATAATCTAATAATCTCAATGTTTTTACTTATTTTTTGCCCTGGCAATGCTAGGCTTACTTGCTAGTATATATATATATAATTAAATTTTTAATCTGGGGAGCATGCTTTATGTGGAAAACACTTGTGATGAAATAAATATGTATATGCTATAAATTTTTAAGAATATAAAGAAAGTGACAAATGTTTAGTTTAATTAAGGGCATGTATCCTAAAAATCTGTAGAAATTTCAAAGTTGTTTAAAATTCATTACTTATTTTAAAATAAGATTTTTTAGGTACAGATAGGTTGATTACATTCAGATGACATGATCGGGAATGCAATCAGCTGCAATTTAAACTTTTGACTTAATCCATTCCATTAACTTCCAAAAATAGTCAGCTTTGAAGCAATAAAGTTTGACCTTGATCCTGTCCACCAACTCCTTCACAATCTAACTTCCCAAGCAATTTCGTAAACTTTTTGTTTCAATTGATATCAAAATCTCTCAATCAGTATCAGTTGCAGAATGTTTAGAATGTTGACTTCACAAGAGATGTGTTGCATTCTAAAGGGTCCAACTTAGCAACTGTGTTATGAGCATAATTCTGCCAATTACATTTTTTTGATCAAATTTATTTAATCCTCCTATTTTAAAATAAAATGTATTTATGTAATCTTATCAATAAATGGAATCAAAAACATTCTAGAAACAATTGGCAAGCACCAAATCCGATAGAGGTTGCTGTTTTTGAGCCAAGATGGCTGCCGAAACAGGTAAGGAGCCGGCCACATGTTTGTTCAGTGCCTGAGCCAATTCTGTTTCTATCGGTGACGACTACTGCGAGGATCAAATGAAGAACAAATCATTGAATTTATGTCAAATTCTAGACTATATCAGCGACAGGAAAGGTTGTCTTGTAGAACGTGAAGCTGTTTTGGATATATGTGACGTACACACACACAAAACATAATGTGTGCTACAAACTTTTGACTGGCCTGTATTGTATAAGTGCTGAATGACTCAGCAGGGCAACCTTCAGATTGGCACTAATTTTAACTATTATGATAAATAAACTTTGTTTTTATATTGGAACATGGTGTATACTGCTTAAAATATTTAAATACTTCTCACCTGTTAATGTGTAATAAATATGCTATCACATGTTTACAATAACCAGACAGCTCCGCTTTGCACATGCATTCTCCCTGTAATTGAGATGTATTAAAATGCCAATATCTGAGATTGCAACATTAAAGCAACAACATGAACTTCGGTGTTGTTGTTAGAGTTTAATCCACAAAATACGATGTGTCCAGCATCCAAAACGGCTTCACCTTCTACAAGACAACGTTTCCTGTCGCCGATATAGTCTAGAATTTGACATAAATTCAATGATTTGTTCTCCATTTGGTCTTTGCAGTAGTCATCACTGATAGAAACTGAATCGGCTCAGGCATTGAACAAACACATGATCGGCTCTTTACCTGTTTCGGCAGCCATCTTGGCTCAAAAACAGCGCCCTCTGTCAGATTTGGCGCTTGCCAATATGCTGTCTCATGTATGTATTCAATTATTCAAAATTACTGGAAAATGCTATTGAAAGTTGTGTAGATTTTTGGGATACACACCTATATTAAGAATATTTATTCTTATTTTTATCTGTTTATGGCAATTTTAATTATATAAGAAAATTTATATTAATTTATTTTTAAAATTTTGTAATTTATGCATTTCCATGCAGAATAATAATTTAATTATTTATGTATAGATGGATTTTTTCAAATGTAAAATGAAAAATTATTAAAATGTAGTAGGTTAAATTTAGTTCGGAAAATGATTAAAAGAACCTCTTTGCTATGAAAATTGTATTTATTGTATTAAAAATTATGGATAAAATTCTATAAATTAATAAAATTAATTTTTTTCTGATTTATAATTATGAATTAATTTTAAAATTACATATTTTTTATTTACTAGTCATGAATCTTCAAGTTTAAAAACTGCAAAAGAAGCAAATACGACTGATCTCTACAGTCTGAAACTTCTCAAACCCAATACTAATACAGAGTATGTGCTGAATTTTATTTGTTATTTTATTCATATATTAAACTTTAAGGATTTTATACTTTTTTATAATATAGTGAAGTTTCATCAAGTGAAAGTCTTAGACAAATTACACAACAAATAAATGGTCTGATGTCACAAACTCATGCATTATTAAATGGAAGTGTGGAAACAAGTACTACACCAAATTCCAATAATTCTGAACTAGAAAGGCGAAATCAAGAACTTGCAGTTCTTTTAGATAGTCATCGCCAAGCCAATGAACAGTTACAGTTTCAATTACAAGAATTAGTAAGAGACCTTGTATTATTTTTATATTTAATTTTGATTTCTCGTTATAATATAGAATCCTGTAGCATAAAACATTGAATAACAACAGAAATCTGCTTTATTGGATCTCACTTAAATTGAATAATAGTTTTTCTAGTACTTTCAGGCAACTGAGCCTATTGTCAAGAGGTAAGCCATCTTAGTAGCTAGTTCACTTCTTTATATCATGAGCTAGGACATCTAAGCACTAAAAATCATTTACGTTATAACTATTTACATGATTTTTAGTGCTAGATGTGTTAGCTCTATTCACAACAATAGGCTCCCTGCCTAAAAATACTAGAAAAACTGTTGTTCAATTTTAATGATTCCCAATAAAGTAGATTTTTGTTCTGTGCGTAGCATCTTTGCAATCCAAACAATAATTTTGGTATATGATCAAACAGCAATTAATTAGAAAACGTTACGGTTTATTTAAAACACTTTTTAAATTCAGATGCATTTTGGGTTGGCTTGTATTCCCAACCCCTCTTCAGTGCTGTTAAAATTACAAAAAACAAGGTGAGTTTCATGACATTGGTAAGTAGGTTGTAACAACAATGAGTGGTGACAATAACATAAAAAACTTACATGTTATATAATGGTACAGCATAGACTTGTGTGACAATATTTTTATTACATAGTTGTATGACTATTTTCTATAATATGAAAAAAGTAAAGGGCGTGGCTGTTTAACACATCATTTATATAAAAAATATAACATAGATTATTAATTTCAAAATATCTATAAACACTTACATTTTTAATTAATATGTATTATTCCCAATAAAAAATGAAACGGGTAAAAATTGACAACTGGTGTTATCCGGTGTTCACAGAGTAACAGTATACTAACAAGTAATGTTATTTAAACCATTCCTAACATTTCGTACAAGAGGGTGTGCTTTTAAACAATCTTTAATGCAAGGAGGCGCTCTATTAGTTAATACCAATGTTTCTCAACGGGGGCGATATCGCCCCTCGCTTTTTGCCCCCTCAACTTTTCTATGTTGAGGGGGCGATTTGTAACAATTTATATTTTGGGGGCAAAAAACAATTTTCTGGGCGATATAGTAAAATAGTATATTAAGAATAATTAGTTATTTTATTTGTTATATCATACAATAATTAAACAAATAACATTATTCTAGTCAATAGTCTATTCAATGCAGTACGAATTTGGCGTTAGCCTTGGCCCTCGGCATCGGAATTTTGAAGTGAAGGGGGCAATACTATGTAATGGTTTTATTGAAGGGGGCGATACTACATTGAAGGGGGCAACGATTCATTAGAGGTTGAGAAACACTGGTTTATACCATTGGGGGTCTATTGACATGCCTTCTGAAATATTAATTAAGTTATCTTTAGGGTGTTTTTTGATGCCTTGGTCTTAAAAATCTTAATGTCCTGATGTATCAAACTAATTTTTGTTTTTTTCTCCAAAATCAGTTATAGAACTATGTGAGGATTGAATTAGTTTTGTCAACTGTCGTAAGCTGGCAGTGGTCGAACTATTCACACACGTTTATAAATATGTAAGTGCATGTTTATATTTCAAAAATAGGGGGGGCGTGTCTAGCCTGCGGAGGTGTTGATGACTTTTTTTCTGAGCTGTTATGGCGACATTAGACATGGACTTTTTACAACACAATATTAAGTGTAGAACTGAAATAAGAAGTTTAAATGTTTCATTAGCTCGAATAATAATTTTTATTTTACTAATGATTGCTGGCATTGAGTTAAATCCCGGACCCCTTCCTAGATCTCCTTTAATACCAAGTCAAGAAGTTATGCAAAAAAGGGGGCGAGGGAGACCACGCAGAGAAAATACAAGGGATATAGAAGAAAATACTCAGACAAGTGAAATGTCAGGAGAAGAATACTTGATTGAGGAACATTCTAAGAATACTGCTGATGGCTCGAGGTATGCCACAATAAAAGATTTTTTTGAACTGGAAGAAGATCTATTAACAAAGACTATTGAACCTGAATATTCACTCAAATCGGTCTACGAACTAATCCAAGACAAATTTGATCGTCTGAACTTCGAAGTCCGTTCTATGAGAGCTGAAATCAACAAGATGAATGAAGAAAATTTGAAGCTCAAGGAAGAGTTAAAAGAAATGTGTAAAAAAGTACGTTTATTAGAAGAAAGAACAGATTCATACAGTATGTTAAAAGGTATAGTAGATTTTGAAGTTGATAAAATGTTAAACGAAAGGACAAAGAAAAATCTAATTATATTTAATTTTCCATTTAGAACCTCGGAATATGTAGAGGAGTTAAAAAAATTTCTAAAAGATAACTTAAAGCTTAATTATATAGAAATTGAGGGTCTCATTCAAATAGGAAATAGAAGAAATAATCAAGTAATTAAGGTTATGACCGAATCGGTTAAAGATAGAAACTTAATTTTTAATAAATTCTGGACCACAAGATTGAAAATGACGGATGAAAAGAAAATAATAATAATATCAACGGGCTTATGTCCGAGATCTAGGATCAGGAGAAAGTTACTATTAAAAAATATTAAACTAGAGAAATCGAATGATAAAAAGATAAAAATAAGAGATGATTATTTTTTAAAAGACAATACAATGTATACATATGATCTGAACACTAGAAATAATTCAGCTGAATCCTTTTTTAGAGATAAGTATAATGTAAGATTAGCCAAAATAAATCAAAATTCAAAAACAATGCAGGAAAAAAGGAGAATGATTAATAATATGGAGAATAATAATAGAAAAATGAGTAATGATAATTTTATAGTCAAAGATAATGAACTGAATGAGGAAAAAGTAGAAATTTCAAAAAGAGAGAAAAATAATGTGACGATAAGCTTTTGGAATATTCGAGGATTAAGAGGGAAACTATTCAAAACCTCGATGAGAAAATTCCTGGACTCAAATGAATTAATTGGATTTGTAGAAACCTGGATTCTAAAATTTAGTGATATGGAAATAAAATATCTAGAACAAGACAATAGTATAATAATTAGCAATGCTCAACGTAAAAACAGGTTTGGATGCCTGTCATGTGGAATTCTGTTACTTATTAAGAAGAGATTAGGTGAAATATTCCTCCAATATACATCGGATTATATCATTGCTGTTATAATAAAATTAGAAAATAAAATCAAAATGAGATGGTCTTACACGTATTTGGGAGTGGTAGTAATATATATACCACCGTCTATTGAGAAAAAACCAATTTTAAATGAAGTGCAAAAAATTCTGGATAGATGGGCNTATTATAGTAACAATTATTAATAATATTTCATTTAGTTATCACAGAAATTCTTTATTACATGAGATAGAAAACAATATCGAGTTTCTGGAAAGGAGAAATGTGGTTAATAGGCCCAATGATCAGATGAAGGATTTCGACAAAAATAGACTCTGGCTACATACAGATCCAGAAATAAAGAAGAAAAAAAAAGAGCAAAAAGAAATAATCTTGAGACAATGCTTGGCTCTTTTCTCCCTTTTTTATATAATTTTTTCTTTTGTTTTTTTTTTTTTTTGTTTAGCTTACAAAAGAAATTCCATCCCATAACTTCTAACAGTAAACGCTGGCATTTACGTTCCATTGAATCAGGCGACAGTTTTCGGAAAAAGGAGGCAGTCTACGGGCCATTTCACCTTGCACCGTTTTCTGAGTGTCCAGCGGATTGGAAGTTGGCTTTTTCCTCTTTAGTTCTTTCTGTCATCCTTCACTTTTCTTTAGTGTTTCTGTATGTAGGAAGATATAAATCCTATCCCCTTGTTTCGAGATTGAGATAGAATTTAGTATAAGTCCTCTCACAACTTTTCAAACTTACTTTTTTTTAGAAAAAATACACGTAAAGTAAAGGTAAAATACTGTACAGCTCACGATTTCTTTGATGTATATATGGTATGTTTGCTATTGAATACTAATGTCGAGTTTATTCTAGATCTACCAATTCTTGTAAGAAATTCTTATGATATATCTAGTCGAAGATATTATGATGTAAAATTTTTATATATATAAATATATTACGCTGTAAACAAGTAAATTATAAAATTTTGAAAGTTTTATTTTGCGTAAATTTGAAATGTTTATTTTATTTTATTTTTTTAATTTTTCTTGTAAATTTTCTGATATTAAATCGAAGAAATTTGTCTTTAACTTTGTCAAGAAATAAAATAAAATAAAAGTTCGTTTCTTTCAATTGAAAGTCGAAAATTATTTTTAAGTGAAAAGTTCTTTCGACATTCAGAAATCAATTCTTTTCTGTTTGATAATCTCAAGAGTATTTAAGGAAAAAAGAGACAATTTAGCTCAAATCTCAAATGGTTTTCATCTTAAAAAATTGGATTTTTTAAGGTTTTTTTCCTGTAGAAAACTTTATTTATTTATTTTTTAATCAAATAATTAATTGAATAAAATATAAAAATTAAATTAAATTAAATAATTAAAAATATCTTTAATTAATTCGTTACAAAATCTTAAATCTTTAGAAAAATCTAAGTACAATGGACTCTCGATATAGTGACAAAATTTTTCGCTACATCGAGTGGTCATTATATCGAGTCGATTGTTTTTACATAAACAATTAAATTAAAACCTTTATAAGCTCTAAATGTACGAAATAATAATAATAAAATGAAATTATAAAATATTTTAACATTAACTCCGGTTAGAACCGCAAAAATAAATTATACCAAAGAGAAAAATTGAGTAAAATTATAAAAATATAGTTTTAATTAATTTTACTCTATTATAAAATTAATTTTGATAAGAATAAATGAATTTCCTTAATTAAAAATATAGTGTATATAATTGAAATTTATTAAATAAATGATAATTTATATTATTTTCTTTTTCTTAATTAAATATATTGAATGAACTTTTTAAATATATTAAGTTAGAAGTGAATTAATTCAGTAGCCATTACTCCAAGTGTACAATCTAATGAGTGGTTTAGCTTTGATAACCGTCTAACATGCAACAGTGGTCGAGATGGTACATTGAATTCACGAGTGTCTGTTCACAATAGTATTCTGTCAGTACTGGTGAAGGGGGTGTATTGTCACCAAATGCATCTGCTCTGTTAACCAATGTATTGTGTAGCAATAAAGCTAACATTAGTGTTCTATATAATTGCACTGGTCTGGTTTCATATTGCGCTTTGTTATA